TTGAGTTGTTAATTGATATTGAAAGATTCTTTTTCGTGTAGTTGAATATGAACAATCAGGACATTTCAACTGCTTTTCACCAGCACGAATATTTTCAGGAGACTTAGGAATCTCCTGAGAAACAGTAGAATTGTCTGATCTATTACTTATCCCAGATCCAGTATTATCACTGTCATTTTGAAATTCAGCATATCTCGGTCTTTTTCGTTTGCTAGAATTAGTAAAGTGATCATTGATATGCTTAATAAAACTGTCCTCCTCCAGAAATTTTTCCCCACAAACTGAGCAGAGAAAGCCTCCAGCCTCTCCATTGAATTCACTCTGCTCAGTTTTTACTTCTGATTTAAGAACATCACATTTATTTTGAACACAACAACCATCTTGTTCTGTAACATGACTATTTTCAAGAACAGAACCTCCAGCAAACTCATGTAACAAACTGTGCACATCATCTTGTACTCGTAGGTCAGGCTTATAATGACGTTCCCTGATATGTTCAAGGAAATACTTCTCGTAGAAAAGTTGTTCGCCACATGCTGGACACAGAAAACCTCCAGTTCTGCTTCTTAAATCCTCTTCTTCGGTCTTCACTTCGGTCTTTATGTGAGAACATGACATCTGAAGAGTATTCTGGATTAATTAATAAATACATTCAGGATGAACTGGAAATCAGTAATAATTCAGGAGTGCCGTGTATCAATCATAATTTTAGTATTATACAATGTTTTATATGAAAAAGGGCAACTTTTAGTGAACACTGAACATGATGAGAACAGTACATTGATACTGGTAACTTTTATCTTTTACTGAATATGGCGATTTGGAACTTTGAAAATAGTAATATTTGGTGATCATGGAGAGCAAAGTACATCAAAAGTGGTAGCTTTTGCCTTTTGGTGATCATGGGGAGAGTAAAGAACATCGAAATTGAGCTCTTGGTTACGTCGTAGAGTACCAGAATACACATTAAATATTTCAATTTGATATTTCGAAAGCAAAACATTCAAATGGTGAAAAATTGTGCAAAATGGTTAATAATTTTTATGTTGAATCGAGATTTCAAATCGTAAAATTTCACCATTTTTCAACATTGCAACCAACCCGATATTCATACTTTTTATTAATCATATGGTACAATAAGTATAAACAAAAATATCTTCTTTGCATATAATATGCAAAGAACCTTCAAAAACCAAAGTTTAACTAAAGAACCGATTTTTAACATTCATTAATAGTTTTTCGCCGAAATATGGGTTCACTGATGTTTGAAAAGACTACTTCGATGAACTGTGCAGAATGAACTTAGGTGGTCTTCAAAAAGATGCGATTATGATCATTCCAAAAACTTGTACAGTTTTTGGCCGAAATGAGTTTTTTCTAGTTTCTAGAATGAATATTCATATGTCTTTTGAAGTGTGATTTATGAGCTGTTGCATACGAACAATCTGGACATTTGAATGGTTTCTCTCCGGAGTGAGTCAGCAGATGTCTTGTGAGCTCTGATTTAAAAGCTACTGCATGCGAACAATCTGAACATTTGAATGGTTTCTCTCCGGAGTGAGACATCATATGTACTTTCAGTTGGGATTTCTGAGCTGCTGTATAGGAACAATCTGAGCATTTGAACGGTTTCTCTTCGGAGTGAGTACTCATATGTCTTTTTAGGTCTGATGTCTTAGCTGTTGCGTACGAACAATCTGAACATTTAAATGGTTTGTCCCCAGAGTGAGTCATCATATGATTTTTGAGGCGTGATTTATGAGCTGTTGCATAAAGACAATCTGAGCATTTGAACGGTTTCTCTCCGGAGTGAGTTGTTAAGTGAAATTGAAGAGTTCTTTTTCGTGTAGTTGAATATGAACAGTCAGGACATTTCAACTGCTTTTCACCAGCACGAATATTTTCAGGAGAATTGGGAATCTCCTGAGAAACGGTAGAATTGTCTGATCTATTACTGATCCCAGATCCTGTATTATCACTGTCATTTTGAAATTCAGCACATCGTGGCCTTTTTCGTTTGCTAGAATTATTAAAGTGATCATTTATATGCTTAATAAAACTGTCCTCCTCCAGAAATGTTTCCCCACAAACTGAGCAGAAAAAACCTCCAGCCTCTCCATTGAACTCACTCTGCTCAGTTTTTACTTCTGATTTAAGAACATCACATTTATTTTGAACACAACAACCATCTTGTGCTGTAACATGAACATTTTCATGAACAGAACTTCCAGCAAACTCATGTAACAAACTGTGCTCCTCATCTTGTACTCGTAGCTTCGTAGGTCAGGCTTATAATGACGTTCTCTGATATGTTCAAGGAAATACTTCTCGTAAAATAGTTGTTCACCACATGCTGGACACAGAAAACCTCCAGTTTTGCTTCTTAAATCCTCTTCTTCGGTCTTCACATCGGTCTTTATGTGAGAACATGACATCTGAAGAGTATTCTGGATTAATTGATGAATACATTCAGGTTGAACTGGAAATCAGTAATTATTCAGGAGTGCCGTGTATCAATCATAATTTTAGTATTATAAAATGTTTTTTTTATGACCAGGTTTCAATGGTTGCATTATAATATAGTAACTCAGACAATCGTAGAAATGGAAACTACTTGTAATTGAAATTGCGGTTTAATTGAAACGTCCATCAGTATTGAGTATTGCTAAATGCTACTATATAAATTATACAGATATCTTAATCTTTTATAAAAACAGAGTTATACACCATGATAAAAATAGGGCGATATGTAAATATAACTTAATATAGGATCTCTAATAGAAGCTAGTAGATTGTAATATTCATCATTAATCATATTGTGCTATAATTAGGATTAAAAATAGGATTACAAATAGGATTAAAAATAGGATTTAAAATAGAATTTAAAATAGGATTTACACAAAGATATCGCAAAGAACCTTTTAAACTGAAGTACAATTATATTAATAATTATTTCAATTAACAAAATGGGTTTCCATAGGGGTCGTTCACCGGTTCACATGTATTTCATAATCACTAGGGGAGGGAGAGGGGGAGGTCTCTAAATGATTACTCTAGTGAAACACAATAGTTATGTTTAACAGATTATAAATTGGGGAAGGAGGGTTTCACCATTACGAGTCTTTTGATCATGTTCAAAAAGATACACTTTTTGTTCACCAGCATATTATATTATGATCATTCCGTAATAACAGTAACAGTTTGTTCATGCCGGGTTAAACTTTTCTAGCATGTATTTGTTGGTGTTTTAGTAGATTTGATTTCAGACCTGCTGCATACGAACAATCTTAACATTTAACTATTTAAATGGTTTGTCTCCAGAATGAGTCATCAGATGTGTTTTGAGGCGTGATTTACGAGCTGTCGCATACGAACAATCTGAACATTTGAACGGTTTCTCTCCGGAGTGAGTACTTATATGTCTTTTAAGGTCTCATTTCTCAGCTGTTGCATACGAACAATCTGAACATTTAAATGGTTTGTCTCCAGAGTGAGTCATCATATGATTTTTGAGGCGTGATTTACGAGCTGTCGCATACGAACAATCTGAACATTTGAACGGTTTCTCTCCGGAGTGAGTAGTCATATGCCTGTTAAGGTCTGATTTCTCAGCTGCTGTATAGGAACAATCTGAACATTTAAATGGTCTCTCTCCGGAGTGAGTCTTCTGATGTTTTTTGAGGTCTGATTTCCGACCTGCTGCATACGAACAATCTGAACATTTGAACGGTTTCTCTCCGGAGTGAGTACTCATATGTCTTTTAAGGTCTGATTTCTCAGCTGCTGCATACGAACAATCTGAACATTTAAATGGTTTGTCTCCAGAGTGAGTCATCATATGATTTTTGAGGCGTGATTTACGAGCTGTCGCATACCAACAATCTGAACATTTGAACGGTTTCTCTCCGGAGTGAGTAGTCATATGCCTGTTAAGGTTTGATTTCAAACCTGTTGCAAACGAACAATCTGAACATTTGAACGGTTTCTCTCCGGAGTGAGTTGTTAAGTGATATTGAAGAGTTCTTTTTCGTGTAGTTGAATATGAACAATCAGGACATTTCAACTGCTTTTCGCCAGCACGAATATTTTCAGGAGAATTGGGAATCTCCTGAGAAACGGTAGAATTGTCTGATTTATTACTCATCCCAGACCCTGTATAATCACTGTCATTTTGAAATTCAGCACATCGTGGTCTTTTTTGTTTGCTAGAATTATTAAAGTGATCATTGATATGCTTAATAAAACTGTCCTCCTCCAGAAATGTTTCCCCACAAACTGAGCAGAGAAAACCTCCAGCCTCTCCATTGAATTCACTCTGCTCAGTTTTTACTTCTGATTTAAGAACATCACATTTATTTTCAACACAACAACCATCTTGTTCTGTAACATGACCATTTTCATGAACAGAACCTCCAGCAAACTCATGTAACCAACTGTGCTCCTCATCTTGTACTTGCAGGTCAGGCTTATAATGACGTTCCCTGATATGTTCAAGGAAATACTTCTCGTAGAAAAGTTGTTCACCACATGCTGGACACAGAAAACCTCCAGTTTTGCTTCTCAAATCCTCTTCTTCGATCTTCACTTCGGTCTTTATTTGAGAACATGACATCTGAAGAGTATTCTGGATTAATTAATAAATACATTCAGGTTGAACTGGAAATCAGTAATAATTCAGGAGTGCCGTGTATCAATCATAATTTTAGTATTATAAAATGTTTTATATGGCCAGGTTTCTATGGTTGCATTATAATATAATAGTTACTCAGACAATCGTAGAAATGGAAACTACTTGTAATTGAAATTGCGGTTTAATTGAAACGTCCATCAGTATTGAGTATTGCTAAATGCTACTATATAAATTATACAGATATCTTAATCTTTTATAAAAACAGAGTTATACACCATGATAAAAACAGGGCGATATGTAAATATAATAACTTAATATAGGATCTCTAATAGAAGCTAGTAGATTGTAATATTCATCATTAATCATATTGTGTTATAATTAGGATTAAAAATAGGATTCAAAATAGGATTCAAAATAGGATTTAAAATAGAATTTAAAATAGGATTTACACAAAGATATCGCAAAGAACCTTTTAAACTGAAGTACAATTATATTATTAATTATTTCAATTGACAAAATGGGTTTCCATAGGGGTCGTTCACCGGTTCACATGTATTTCATAATCACTAGGGGAGGGAGAGGGGGAGGTCTCTAAATGATTACTCTAGTGAAACACAATAGTTATGTTTAACAGATTATAAATTGGGGAAGGAGGGTTTCACCATTACGAGTCTTTTGATCATGTTCAAAAAGATACACTTTTTGTTCACCAGCATATTATATTATGATCATTCCGTAATAACATTAACAGTTTGTTCATGCCGGGTTAAACTTTTCTAGCATGCATTTGTTGGTGTTTTAGTAGATTTGATTTACGAGCTGTCGCATACGAACAATCTGAACATTTGAACGGTTTCTCTCCGGAGTGAGTACTAATATGTCTTTTAAGGTCTGATTTCTGAGCTGCTGTATAGGAACAATCAGAACATTTAAATGGTCTCTCTCCGGAGTGAGTCTTCTGATGTTTTTTGAGGTCTGATTTCCGACCTGCTGCATACGAACAATCTGAACATTTGAACGGTTTCTCTCCGGAGTGAGTACTCATATGTCTTTTAAGGTCTGCTTTCTCAGCTGTTGCATACGAACAATCTGAACATTTAAATGGTTTGTCTCCAGAGTGAGTCATCATATGATTTTTGAGGCGTGATTTACGAGCTGTCGCATACGAACAATCTGAACATTTGAACGGTTTCTCTCCGGAGTGAGTACTTATATGTCTTTTAAGGTCTGATTTCTGAGCTGCTGTATAGGAACAATCAGAACATTTAAATGGTCTCTCTCCGGAGTGAGTCTTCTGATGTTTTTTGAGGTCTGATTTACGAGCTGTTGCATACGAACAATCTGAGCATTTGAACGGTTTCTCTCCGGAGTGAGTTGTTAAGTGATATTGAAGAGTTCTTTTTCGTGTAGTTGAATATGAACAATCAGGACATTTCAACTGCTTTTCGCCAGCACGAATATTTTCTGGAGAATTGGGAATCTCCTGAGAAACGGTAGAATTGTCTGATTTATTACTCATCCCAGACCCTGTATAATCACTGTCATTTTGAAATTCAGCACATCGTGGTCTTTTTTGTTTACTAGAATTATTAAAGTGATCATTGATATGATTAATAAAACTGTCCTCCTCTAAAAATGTTTCCCCACAAACTGAGCAGAGAAAACCTCCAGCCTCTCCATTGAATTCACTCTGCTCAGTTTTTACTTCTGATTTAAGAACATCACATTTATTTTGAACACAACAACCATCTTGTTCTGTAGTTACATGAACATTTTCATGAACAGAACTTCCAGCAAACTCATGTAACAAACTGTGCTCCTCATCTTGTACTCGTAGGTCAGGCTTATAATGACGTTCCCTGATATGTTCAAGGAAATACTTCTCGTAGAAAAGTTGTTCACCACATGCTGGACACAGAAAACCTCCAGTTTTACTTCTCAAATCCTCTTCTTCGGTCTTCACTTCGGTCTTTATGTGAGAACATGACATCTGAAGAGAATTCTGGATTTATTAATAAATACATTCAGGTTGAACTGGAAATCAGTAATAATTCAGGAGGGCCGTGTATCAATCATTATTTTAGTATTATACAATGTTTAATTTGATCAGGTTTCAATGGTTGCATTATATAGTTACTAGGAAAATTGTAGAAATGGAAACTACTTGTACAACTGAATTTACAGTACAATGGAAACGTCCATCATTATTGAGTATTGCTATTAAACAAATTATACAAATATCTAAATCTTCAATAAAACAGAGTTATGTACCATGATACAAACATGACAATATTATGTAAATATAAGTTGCTCTATAAGATTCCTAATACAATAAAAGCCGGCAGATTGTTTATTGTAATACTCATTTAATGTCTGCCTCAATGTGGCTGCTGAGAGAACAGAAAGCAACAAAGTGGTGTCCCACGGAGTGGTTCTTCAAAGATCTATCAGTCCGCTTGTTGATGATATCACTGTGTTAGATACAGATTATGCAGATGACATGGCTGTACTGGATAACAGCGAGGAAGGTCTTCAAGAAACGATTGACCTTTTGTGTATGTATGGTGCCCAGGGAGGTCTTAGAATCAATGGTAAAAAGACTGAGGCTATGGTCATTGGTAAAGCAACCTCTCAACGGCCATACACGAAAGAAGCCACAGTGAACATCACTGTTGAAGACACGCCAGTGCAGCAAGTTAGTGACTTTACGTACTTAGGTACAATTATTTCCAGCGACGGTACTATCGACCGTGAGCTGTCAGCTAGGATTCAGAAAGCTTCCGGAGCCTTCAATCAACTGAGTAATATATGGAAAAACCGCAACATCCAGTCTTATACAAAGATCAGGATTTATAAGGCAGCGGTTTTGACAATATTGTTATATGGTAGTGAGGTTTGGAACACAACCAAAAAGCAGCTACATCGCTTTGAGGTGTTCCATCAGCGTTGCTTGAGGAGAATACTTAGGATAAGATGGCTCGATCGGGTTAGAAACACTGAAATGCTGGAGCGTGCAAAGATAAATCCAGTAGAGACGTACATAGGAGCAAACCGCCTGCGTTGGTTTGGCCATGTCACCAGAATGCCAGACACTAGGCTTCCTAAGTACCTGCTTAATTGGACCCCTGCCCATGGGAGAAGATCTAGGGGCCGTCCAAGAAAGAACTGGAGGAAATGTTTGCTGGAAGATGCTGCAGCGTTTACAGGAAACACTGACATAGACCTAGAAGGAGCGAGCGAGATAGCTAGTGACCGCAAACTTTGGAAGGAGATGATACGTCACAAACGGGAGTTCATTGGTGCAGGCCACTCGAATGATTGAGGAGACCTAATCAAGTACAAGTACAAGTAAGTACATTTAAATCAATCATATAATGGCGAGTAAAGTACATCAATACTAGGCGATATTTCAAAACCGGTTGCACAGAGGCCAAAATTTCGAAACCCCCTTTGGCCATAAATTCCGGTTTAATTTGGTAGACAAACGGTCAGCCATTAGCTAATAACGAACCATGGCGAAGTAACAAGTCACTAGGTTCCTTACTGAGAAGGACATTCAAAGAAGGAGAATCCTAGCTGAGATTGCTTTTAAGAACTTTGAAAAAGTATGGTTGTCCGGTAAGAAAATATCCCTTGAAAGAAAGCTGAGGTTATACCTACGATGCTCAAGTTGTATCTGTATTGATTTACAACTCGAATAGTTGGAGTCCTAAGAAAGCAACCATGGAGAAAATGGACACACTCCATCGTAGACACCTCAGGTCCATTTTAAACATCAAATGGCCTAAAGGTATGATAAGCAACAAAGCATTGTATGAAAGGTGCAAAGTTGAAAAGTTATCCAAGCGTATTGAACACCAGCGGTGGAAGATGTTTGGACACATTCTCAGGAGTATGGAGAACACCCCAGCCCAAACGGCTCTCTCTTTTGCTATTGAATCAGATAATTTATTCATTGGAAGATTGGGGAGACCTAGAATGAACTTGTTATAGGTTTTAAGAAGTGATTTAAATAGTAGAAATTTACAAATGGACAACTTGTATGAATTAAACGAAATTAGAGATATAGCTGCATGCAACAGATGTTGGGAAAATCTTTTTCAAGGGTACAGTTTACCGCATTAAGGTATTTTTAAGAATCATTTTTGTCGGTAAGATCCTGTTTTATAATAATAATAATAAGACAAATGTTTTGAGGGTCAGGATCAACAAATTTTATGCAAAAATATGGAACAGAAAAATTTTAGTAGCTTATTGAAGTCAAAAATCTGAAATTTTTCTGAAAAATTCAAATTTCGTTTGATTGAATGCCAGGAGATGTGAAAATGATTTCTAGCTCCAATTTTTTGGTCATAGGATATTCAGATGTTACAGATGATTGTGCAAATCTCAAATTTTGTCCACCGTGTATGGGTTTTTCTAGGCGACTCCTCAAAGAAGCTGATGAAGCTCTGTGACGAAAAAAGGCGAGAAAAGTTTTCTCAGAGTGACCTGAATCACTTTAAACCTTTAAAATGCATAAAACCTATCTCAGTAGAGTGCAAATAGTGAGTAACCAACAGTTTGGATTTATCTTATGCACCTAGCCAAAGATATATAGGCTTTCAACGTCATGAAGCTCTGTGACGAAAAATTCCAAAAATCACACAAAATCGTCACACAGCCTTCATTTCGTGCCAAAATATTTGTTTACAACTCAGAAGAACATAATTGAGTCATACCAAACATAAAACCCCCTTTTTCCCCAAAAAATTAGAATTTGAAATTTTGAATTTGCGGTTATCAGATTTTTAAGGTCGTTTCCTCAAATTCTCAACAATGGCATCCTTCATTTTGATTTAAATGTGTACCTGGGCCTCCTCCACGAAACTTGTACTTAACTCTTTTGAACTTAAGCTAAGTTCGCACTTAGCTTAAGTACGACAATTTCTGCTGTCCACGAAACTAGAGACACTTAAGCAAACACAAATTTAGGACAAACCTGTCGTCCACGAACGGGTATCATGCAGAGTTATACTTAACTGTCACGTGACTGAGGTAACGCAGGTCACACTAACCAATGGTGTGATAGCAAGTAGGAACCAAATTGAGCACACCCAGGCGGCAGGCAGGTTCTATTAGTATTATTGATTATGTCATTTCCAGTTATTTGGAAGAGGGACATGCTATCAACTGTCATGTTATATGTGACATCAATGAGCAATTTCTGACGCTGTTGTGCGTTGGCCCGGTAGTATCCATGATTCAGCCATTTGGAACTTAAGTGGGGTTAAGACCTTGATCGAAGATTTTGTCAAGAGCCAAGGGCCAAGGGCCAAACTATAATAAGGGTTAGCTTCTTGGTGATTCGGGGTACGGCCAGCGAGAAATCATGATGGTTCCACTGCTTGAAGAAAATCTCACTCCGAAAGAGAAACGGTACAATGTTGCACACAAAAAGTGCAGATGTACTGTAGAAAGAGCCATTGGTGTCCTGAAATCGAGGTTTAGGTGTCTCTGCAAGAAGACAGGTGGTGCAATATTGTACCGCATGTAATATCATATTTAGTTGTATGGTCCTACTCCTGCATAATTACTGCAGATCTAGGAATATGGACTACCCTGTAGATAGTAGATACAGACATTGCGAGGACATCAGTGAAAATTGAGGCTCTGAAATTGGGACAGGAAGCTAGAACATGTGTCATTGATTCGTTCATCTAAATAATGACTGAAGATAACTGTTACTAAGCCCTTCAGCTTATTGAAAAACACTCAAAATTTACGGTTTATATGTTTTTAAAACCCTCGAAACTGTTTGCTGTTCCTCAATCACTATTTTAGTGATCACAAAATCCGATTTTACATTTAAGTTCGACTTAAGTACAGCTTAAGTGCGGTTTGGACTGGTCTTAACTTTTTACTTAAATCTGCCTGATTTAAGTCCACTCTTAAGTAAATTTGGGGCTTAAGTAAGTATCGATTACAATTACGCTTCCAACACGCACCATATATGGAGGCTAACGCAACTTTAAGTGCACGCTAAGTTTAACTCCCAAAGTCGTACTTAAATATTTAAGTAGGAACTTAAATCATGCGACTTAAGCAAAAATTTGTACTTAAGACTCAGTTCGTGGACGACAAACGAAGGGTTGTACTTAAATTTGTACTTAAGTCATGCTTAAGTACACCATAAACTGTTCGTGGAAGACACCCTGATCGTAATATTCTATGATTTTCAAGTCATCACATCCCTAAAATAACATTAACTGCTTCTATGGCAAATGTTTGGCTTAAAATTTTAAAATTGATGCTCTGTGACGAAAATCTTTTATCAATATTGAGCATTGTGTTCATTCAATTGCCCCTTTTTGTCTTTTAATCATGTTTGCTTCTAAGAAGAACCTGATTGGGTAAAATTTCAATAGAAGATAAGTCTATAAAGATCTTTTTTCAGAATTTCTCTGAAATTGGTCAAAATTAAGCGTTTTCAGTCAATAACTCAGGATTCTATTATGATAGAGGACCAAATTTGGCATGTAGGCACATCCATTAATACCCTTTAACAATACTATGGGTAATTTCTTGGTTAGGTCGTCATTATCTGTCAAAATTTGATACGATGCTCTGTGACAAAATGACACTGATGCTCTGTGACAAAATACGGAAATTTTTTAAAGGCTGTAAACCTTTAACAGTTTGAGACAGAAGCTTAAATTTGGTACTCAAATTTAGGAAAAGGTCCAAAATTTACGAATCAATAATTTTTATGGGCGTGTCTGAAGTTGCTGGGATGGAATTTTGCGATGAGCACAGAAATACAAAAGTGCAAAATTCTATCCGATGCTCTGTGACGAAAACTTCAATCCTGTATTATATCTCCTACAAAGAATGACCTGGCCACATAATTTTTTCACTGAAGTTAGTTCGTGTCATAGGCAACATTCTGGGATCAAAAGTATTTATGGTGAATAAAATAAAAAACCTTGGTAGGCTCTCAAAGCCATCAA